AAATGGTATGAAACACTTACTAGAGATGATGGAGAAGTAGTATTTGATTTTACTAAGCAAAATGTTGTACTTCAATTATTTTGAGCAAATCAAAATAGATTTGTATTCTCTTATCCTAAACAAAACGGTTGATAGATTGAGATTAGGCCTAGGTGTAGGCTTGCCAATTGAATTAATTTGTTTAAAGAAGAAATGAAGTTAAACTTAAGTCAACTTTAAAAGTTAGCTCTTAAGGTAAGGAATATCTTAACCTTTATAAACTCTTATATAGTCATTTTTGTAGTTGATGTAGAACTTTAACATACTTTCATGTTTAAAATTAGACATTTGAATTATGACTCATTCATGGCAGATCTTGCTGCATACTTCATGGATTTGGATAACTTTTTTACTCTATGGAAAGCTAGGACAATAATGTGTACTTTGAAAAAGGGGTGGTTCTTATATCCTCCACAAAACTTAGAAAAGTAAAATAAAAACGTCTTTCAAAAAAACTTGCAAATATTGTGGATGGTTGATTAAGATCTGATGGTTAAAAATGCAAGACAAGAAACTAGTGATAGAAGTTAAATTTATCAATAATATATTAGTAATTTGATGTATATCTTCTTTTTTTCTTTCCTCTTCCTTTTTCACTACGTCTTTCATTCTCTTTTACGAATTTACTCACTCTCTACCTTCCACTAGCGAATGAAAGTTCAATAAATTTTCTAGAATAAGAGAGAAGAAATTGACGAAGGAAGTTGTTTTGGATAAACCAATTTTAGAAGAATGTTCTTATTTATTTAAAGTATGTATATCTTTTAACTAAAGTCCTTTGGTTGGTTGGTTTAGATGAGAAGCTAATCATAAGCTTTATTTATAAGATAATGAACCAAAATAAAGACGTCATCCATACAACTTTCAATAGTATCAAAAAGAAATAATTAATTATCGATCAAATTTAATTAAAACTAAAATTTTATAATCTTTTACTCATTGTTTGAAAATTATTTTATTTTATTTTATTCTTTAGTTATATATTTTTATAGAATATCATTAATAATAGATGTAACAAACAATTTATTAGTTTTTATATACTATTGACTATTCTCTCAACTCTAATTTAAATTATAATTCTAGATTTAAAGTTGATCATCAGATTAAGTTAAGACTTCATAATTGAACAGCAAGAATGATACCTGATACTTAAAAAAAAAAAGAAAGCTAAATTAATGTTGAAATTGATGATTTGGCACTGAAATGACAGCAACCACACAGGGTGAATGCAGGATTCATGCTCTGTTTATGTTTGGCACTTTCTGAACAAGAAAGTGTATATATGCTCTTCCCAAAGGTATTTGTCACATGCTGCTATGGTTAGACCCCCTTCTTAACCACATAACGACAAACCTAGTCCTAACCCCACACCCTAACTCACCAACATGCCCCAGCTGCACCACAATATACCCTTTCAATCTACTTCTAAAGTATGGATATTTCATTTTATTAAACCTTTTTATACTGTGTATAAATGTTCATTTGGTATATTTAGATATTTCTCAAATATAAATGCAAACCTGTATTATAAGAATATATATATATATATATATATATAGTGAATTTTTATTAAAATTTATTAGATTCAATACATTAATAATATTAAATTATATGTTTCAATAAAAAATATTATTTATTAATTTTTTATTATCCTTAAGCATACATTAAAAAACTGATATTTTATATGTTAATATATTATTTGTTTCAAAAACAAGATAATTTTCCAATTAAGTTGATGATTTTTCATCTTTCTCTTTTTTCGGCATTTATTTATCTATTTGATCAAATTCTTTCATCCTTATTTATAAAATATAATCTGTGAGTTTATTAATGTTCTTCCTTATTAACATTTTTACAATAATTAACCAATATTTTTTTATTTTGAATTTATACTATGTAAATATTATAAGTGTGTTCCTAATTTTAATTTTTTAAAGTTACATTGCATGCTTGTATTCGTAGTGAATAGTAGTATCATATTAATACAATAATCGAAAAATATGCGGTTGTCGTTCTCTTCTCTGAGTTGCAATGGCTACAATATTCTTTTCCTTGTTGGATGATTCCCTCTTTACAAAGTTACATTTCCACGTCAAGGAATTGACTTTTGGGGGCATCAACTTGTTCCAGAAAACCATTAACAAAAATCTGGGAGAGAGGCCAATTATCTTCCATGCATGGACAAAAATTAAGGGAAATTTTTTCAATTGAAAGGAGACTTTTTGAAAAAAGAAATTGCTTTTAATATGTATGTATTTATATTTAAACTCATACCTTTCATATAAATATAGTTATTAATTTATTGGTAACCCATACGATTTTCTTTTATCATTTGTAAAGGACAAATAAAAAGAAACCAAAGAGTTATTGCTTGATCCTGTATGTAGTCATCTCTTGAACATTTTGCTTGATTTGCCTGAAGTTGAGTTTCACTAGATTATCTTAATTATAAATTTTAGGTATGATAGTGCAAATAATAAAAATAATAATGAAGTTATGTGAAAGTAAAAACAGATCAAAAGCATGATGATGTGTTGTATTTTAAATAGGGAAGCGAATTCGGTGACTAGAACAAGTTAAAATGCATGATACTTATAAGACTCTATTTGTCTATCATAAAATTCAAACCGTGGAGCTGCTAATAATATTCTAAAAAATCAGTAAAAGTAACCTTCGAATGAAAAATTGAATACGAGAAGAGCCTCGGTATAAAAAACTGAATACAAAAAAAGGGAATGACATAGATCATATTATGTTTCTAAGAAAGAGAAACTAAAAACTCTGATAGATTGCTGAATGAACATTTACATATTTGATGAAGTAAAAACTCATTGGAGATATTGGTTGCATAAATTTCTTTCTCTTGAAGTGTGTGTCTTGTGACTAAGGAACACTGTGAGGGACATTCCCCAGTGGTTTACGTGAAGACTAATGGAAGAGTGAAGGATAATTCATTCACGATGATGATGATGATAATGGTTGTGTGGATCAACTCCAAATTTGCACTCATACATTTTAATTATTATGTACTCTTACGGAGTAATACTATTTCACTATTCTTTCATAAAATAACACCAACTCTTTTTTTTTTATAACAAATATAGATTTAACTTTAAATACATTAATTGTTAAATTTTTTATAACCTTATTTTATTATGAAATTCATGTTTACAAGGCATTCACCTATTTTTTGTTCAAGCATTTAATATTAAGGTATTTTTTTAAATAAAATACAAATCGTTAACTTGCACTATCATTTTCATTGAGCCTTCGTTTTGTTGCAAAGTGAAATAGAGAAAAAAAAAACTAGAAAGAAATAATTAAATTATATTAAAAATATTTATAAAAAATTTAAATTAATCTAAATTTTTTTATTGCAATTTTTTCTTAATAAAAATTTTTCTTATTTTTTTTATAATTTTATATTATTTTAATATTTTAAAAAATAAATACAGAATAAAAAGAAAAAAGAAAGACCTTTGCAGCATTGTGCTCCCGTCTCCATTACTGTTTATTAGACTCAAAAACAAATCTCCTTCCCCTTATCCTCCCTTCAACCAAAAAAGCATATAACTTTTCTTCTTTCTATTTTTCTCCCTCTTCTCTATTTCCATGGTCACTAAAATCCCATAAATATAATATATTTTTTATAGAGTTATTATATAGTCACTTTTATAACACCTTTTGCAAGTTATTTCTTGCATTAGTATTTTTTTTTTTTCAAAAGATATCCTTAAGCTTCGATTGGAAATTTTGAAGGAAAAAACATATTTAAAAAATAAAAGAGAAAAAGAAAGATTAATATACAAAGTCTCTCAAACTTAAAAATTTTAAAAATATAATATTAGAAGAATTTTAAAGGATTTATAAATCCTCTTTTTATTTATAAACTTCCAAATATAGTTAAACGTTACATAAACATTTCCCTTCTTTCAAGAAACATACTTTCAAACAAAGCCTTTAATCTCCAAAGTAATTAATTAGTTGAAAAAGAGTATGACAAAAACAGTCTCAATAATTTTAAGGATAATTTTGAAAAATAAATATTTCAAATGTTGATAAATTTAATATTATTAATAAAACTAATTATTTTTAATTTATGTGAAATAGTTCAAAAAAATATATTTAAGATAAGATTTGTAATTATTTATATAAATTTAGATATTTTTCTTTTACTAATTATTAATTTTATAAACCGATTAAAATGAGTTTTATTTTAGTAAAAAAACTTATATTTAATATTATTATATATTATTAAAATAAAATTCTAATCTTGATTGAGATGTTACACTAATTACATTTAAGGTTTTGTTTAAAAGTCTAGATGAAAAAAAAAAAGAAAAGAAAAGGATTTGAAAAGGAAGAAATGAGAAGGAAAGAAAGGAAGAATATGATTAATACAAAACTCTCATAAAAGAACATAAAAATATGAGATTATAAGGGTTTATAAATCATTTTTTTCTATTTAAAAATTTTTAAATATGATTAAACATCACATGAGTCTCTTCCTTTTTTTTTTTTCTCTCTAAAAATCAACTCTAAACAAATCAGAGTCTAAGAAAATATTTTTACTGTTCTTGAGAACTGCACACACGAGGAGCAGAAATGTTATAAGGCACAATTTATGAGCATTATGGTCATTTTTCATTGTAGTTCATTCTCTTCACCTGAACTCCCATTATCTTTTTGTACATTATGAGAGTATGTTATGTTATAGAAATTATGAATGCTAGAATGAGCCAACCATAAGCGAATGTGGACACACATCACAAGGCATTACTTAAAATACCAAACGAGGCAGTTATACAATAAATATAAAAACAATTTTGTTTAATACAACTTTTAAAATTAGTTTAAGAGTTTAGTAAAATTTTATTAAAAAAGAAAGTATTTACTAAATTCAAATTATAAAAATATAATAAATATTTTTTTAAATAAAAAATCACCACTTTTACATACTTATATTCAATTTTAAAGGGTTTAGACAAGATAAAAATAAAGTCAATTTTAAAGGAGCCAGGTTTTGTATAACATACTAAAAGAATTTGCAAGTTTCCCTCAGAAAGAGACCAAAAAAGACAATAAGAAACTACGTTAGTTCGTTATTCTTTGTATATTCACACAGAAATTGATTAAAATTCTTGTGTTTCAAACTCCTCAAAGTTAGAAAAACTTTAATATCATGAAACAGATATTTAAATAATTGATTCCATATAGACATTTCACAGTAGCATTTTGCTTCTATAGACAGACTTAACATTTCTAGACAAGCATATTTTCATAGCTGTCAAACTTAAGCTACATCATTAACCAACCACACAACTCTATTCTCACTTCTCAGGACACACCGTGATGAACTTGAACTTGTGGTAGCTTCAATTCTTGTCTTTTCCTCTTCCTTCCACAACAATTTGGCTTAGGATCACAAACTCCAGCCTCAAGAGGGAAGTTCAATATGGCTTTTTGACCCCTCATCTTGAAAGCAGCAAAATCATAAGCCTTAGCAGCATCAATTTCAGTGTCAAATGTTCCAAGCCAAACTCTAGAACCTTTCCTTGAAGGGTCACGGATTTCAGCAGCAAACTTGCCCCATGGCCTTCTTCTAACCCCTCTATAACGCCTTGCTTCAATATCATATTCTGATTTCTTCTCTTCTGACACCATTGGTTCATTCTTTGCTTCTTCCTTTAAGGGGTTTGGAGAAGAATTTTGATCAATGAATTCCATGTCTGCTACCAAATCATAGCCTTCAAGGAAAGTGCAGAAGGTGGTGGTGTCTGAAATATATGAACTGAAATCAAATTCTAAAGGGTCTTCTTCCAGTTTTATAGGAAGGAGGTTGGTAAGGAAAGAATCTGAGAGGTTGTGATCCCCTAAGAGATGTTGGCATATGAGATCCAAGTTTGAAGCTTCTTCTGCTGTTGTCATCTTTAAGAAAGTGATGAAACAATGTGAGGTTGAATTTTTGAACATAAAATTGGGAAGCAACCAAGGTAGATATTTATATGCCCCTCTGTCCATGTGAAAGGTCTGGGTCCATTTGATGATGTTAACAGCTCATGTAATGATGTAACATAAATTGAATAAATTTTTAAGTTAGTCTTCAAAATGGTGCATCATATTAAAAATGATTAAATTGAATATCATTTTATAAAGTCAGAAATTAGTAACAGATTTTTAAATTTTCAAATATTAATTTACGAATTTACACGGAAGTTCCTTACAAGTGTTCTTTGAATTTGATAATTTTTCTCGCCCTAAAATAAGACTTCATTCTCTCTCTAAAATTTTATATACCAAAAAGCACACGCTGTAACATGAGAATTTGGAGAATCCCACCTAATCTTATTTTATATTACCTTTATGTTTAGCTCAATTTTATCAAATTCCATTTTTCTTTCCACCCGTTTAGTATAAGAGAAAAGAAAGAGATGCATATGTGATGATGATAAAACACATTAACTATTTCTTATTTATACTAATAATTGCTATTAAACCAATCCTAAAAAAATAATTTAAGATACTCTAAAACATAATAAAAATAATATTGAATATTCTTCATATATATTTGAACAAAAGAAGACAAAGAAAAGGGTCCCATATTCAGTTATGAGATACATCAGAATTGATGATATAGTCACACACGAAGCAGATCAGAATGGAGTCTTTGTGTAATGAGTTGTTTGTGGACACTGCATCTTCTTATCCAAATTGCAATGTCACACTCTTGGGTGTGCCCACATGGCAAGAAACACAATCTTTAATTGCATTCTCAAGTTGGTCCTTGGCATATACTGATTCCATCTGTTGTTGTTTACTAGGAAGCAATGGACATGGTCATTTAAGCCTTCAGGGATAATAAAATTATGCAACTTGTACAGCAAATGTTGGGCCTCAAAAAGTTGCTTTTGGTTATTGTCTACTATCTAGCTTCTATGTATCGGACAAGAGGGTGAGTATGTACATAACAAGCTAGAACTGTTTTTTACTAGTAGATGGGGACCCTCTTCCTCAACTTGCACCAAAACATTTAACACCATCAATTTTGATACCCTCAACATATCACATCAAAGCACCCTCATCAATGGATTAACAGTACAGTGCAAAGTGGCTTCAACTATAGTCAAAACCAATTCCCAAAACCAACAACGATGAGAAGAGTAGTATAGTTGTTTGAAAATATTTCTAGTTAGTTTTGTGCAGATGACATTGAATTTATCAAATACTTCACTGGAATAACTATCCTCTGCCGTTTCAAAATATCAATCTTTGGTACATTTAATATCATTTATTGGCTTTGAATTTTATAAATCAAACCATAGAATTGATCATTTTCATAAACTAAATGAAGTTTATAATATTTTATTAATTATCTTTAGTTTAATGTATAATATATTTCTGAAAAAATATCTTTTGAATAAATATTTTGAATTTAATATTTTAAAATAAAATCAGATATTAATATTAAAGCAATCTTTTGTTTTGTATCTACAAATTCCGTATAACTAAATTTAAAAATTAAACATCGATAATCCTTTTTATGTTATTTAGTTTTTTTTTATAGGTAAAACATATATTATTAAAGAGAGTTTAAGGGGAACTCAAAATCCATATACACAAAAAAAATTACTAACTCAGATAAATAAAAAGCAAAAATATACTTATACAAAGCTAAGACGAATGCAATTTCGTAGGTTCAAATACCAATCAGCTAACAAAATAGCTTCTCCCTTATTAACAAGTGATAGTCATTTTCAAGACCTCAGAATAATAGAATCTAGAACTTTCCTCTTATCCAAAACATCATTAGAAAATACAATTCTATTTCTATATAACCACAAAGACCACACTGTACTTACCCAAACAATTAATAAGCATATCCCTTCTCTTTTACTACAGCCAACACCAACCCAAGAAAGCAAGTGAGTCAATATATCTGAAGGCAAAACCAATGAGAAACCAAGCCAATGCATAGCAAAGTACCAGATTTGAGATGAAACTGAACACGTTAAAAATAAATAAGTTGGAAGTTCCTCCAAACCATGATAGAAGCAACAAGTTATATCATCAATTTGAACACCTCGATCAATCAGCAAACCCTTACAAGGAAGTGTATTCAACAACAATTGCCAAGAAAATACCAGACACTTAAGAGGGACCTTCCCTCTCCATAGCCTTTGCAAGACATTTGCCGTACACTGATCTACACTATTAAGACCACTAAAAAGTTCAAATAGTCATGAATACGTAGATTGTACTAAATAACAACCTGAAGAATCTGTCCTCCATACCCATTTATCTTCTTGTAGTAACTTAATAGAAACTCCATCTACAAGCTCCAACAAAAGATTAAAGCTTGAGATCTCATGTTAAAAGAGTCCTCTTCGCCAACAACATTCCAAACTCATCTAGTACCATCATGAAAACCATTCTCCAATACACATGATTCAGCATTCCTTACCAGCGCAAACAATCGCAAAAATGCTTCACACAATCGCACCCCGCCTACCCACTTATCTCTCCAAAAAAAGAGTATGTAAACCTGCACCCACACTCCTATCAAACTTCTCATCCAGCTAAGAATTCCCTTGATGAATAACCTCCATCAAATCCCGCCACCACAAAGAACATCTGTTGTGGACTGATGGATGATTAATAGAAGAAGTTAATCTTCCATACCTAGATTCCAACACCCGCATCCACAATGAACTAGAACAATTAACACCTCGCCACAACCATTTACTAAGAAGCGCCTAGTTAAATCACTACACATTCCTAATGCCCAAGCCACCATTCTTCCGCGGTCTACATACCGTTTTCAATTTCACCCAGGGGATTTTAGATCCATCCTTAAGACCCTTCCATAAAAAATTTCGTTGGATAGTGACAATCTCCTTTATCACCGACTTCGCCACCTTAAAAAAGGATAACGAGTGCAATGACATAGAATTAAGAACTGTCAAAGTCACCCTGTCTCCAATCGATAAATACCTATGCTTTCATGACGCTAACTTCTTTTTAAGGGCATCTAACACACTCTTCCCTACACTAGACTTTCTCGGGTTAACACTTAATTGTAACCTGAGATACTTTAATGGGAAACTACCAATCTTACAATGGAGGAACTCCGCAGCCAAGTTTTCAAACTCATCACCAGTATTAATCCCCAATACACAACTTTTATAAAAGTTAATTTTCATACCTGACATTAATTCAAAGTTATGCAGTACTGCTTTCAAAGTCCACAAATTCTGAACCGAAGCCTCTCCCATAATCAATGTGTCATCCGCAAACTGCAGCAAAGAAATATCCGGTCCCCCTATCTCAATCTTCACACTAGAGAACAACCCACAAACCACTGCCTTTCACATAAGAACTCCTAACCCTTATGCTGCCACAAGAAAAAGAAAAGGGGGCAAGAGGATCCCCTGTTTTAGGCCCCGCTCAATATGAACCTCCAATGTAGGATAACCATTAATCAAAGCTGATAGGCTACCCACACACACAAGCTTCTATCCAACTGACCCATTTTTCTGAAAATCTAAAGCTACGTAACATAAACAAAAGATATCTCCACTCCACCGAATCATAAGTCTTCTCATAATCAAGCTTTAACACAAAACATCTCTTGTTATACCTCCGCACATAATCAACTGTTTCATTAGCCACAAGCACATTATCTAACATGTTCATTTCCAAGATAAAGACTGATTGTTCTTATGAAATTATTGAATCCAAAACCCCTTTCAACCTATTTGCCAAAAGCTTGGAAACAATCTTATAAAGATAATCTAACAATGAGATAGGCCGAAAATCAGATATCTGTTGTAAGCAAGACACTTTTGGCACAAGTGCTACAAAGTAGGATAACAAAGACCTAGGTAGTTTTCCATTTCTAAAAAATTCAGTAAGCATACTCATCACTTTTTCCTTAATCACTTTCCAAAACTTCTTAAGGAACACAAAATTAAAACCATTAAGCCTTGAACTTTTATCTCCCTCACACTCCAAAATCATCCTTCTTACTTCCTCCTCCGAAAAAGCATTAACAAATCTCTCATTCTGTAGAACAGAAACTCTTGGACTTTTTATGTTGTTTAGTTAATTAAAAGTCATTAATTATTTTTAAATTTGATTGCTATCTTTTGATATTTCCACTGAATAAATAAAAAAGATTAACAAATTTTTTTTTTCTTTCATAAAATTTAAACACAATATCTAATTTAAAAGAAATTAAATTCCTTATCACTGTAGAGTAACATGTGTTTTGAAGTACAAAAGTGACGAACATGTGTTTTGAAATAACGATAATAATTGATAAAAGTTAGTTCACGTCACTGTTCTATACCACGCTGTTTTCTTATTTAATATTAAGGAAAATAGGAAAACAAGAAGAGAAATATATTTTCATGTTACGATAAGTTTCGAGTTTAGTCTTTAAAAGAAATTATATATAATTAAAAATTTTGTTTTTTAATTTTATTTTGATTTTTCATTCACTCTAATTTAACTTTAATTTATTATCAGTATATACAAAAAATTATCACACTAAGAAAAGCTGATAAAAGATGGAGGGATTTATGTATAAATAAAATAAATTTAATTGTCTTGTTAATCTTAAACTTTTGAAGATTATAGTGTCTTGGATAACATTCTCATTTATACAAATTATATATTCATTTCATATTATATAAACTTGTGAGATTTATTCAACCAAACTTATAACATAAAAAAAGACATTGACTTAGTTAATTTTTAAATAATAACAAAATAAATCAATTAAATCTTAATTAATATAAAGTTACTACCCTTAATGTCTTATTATGCAATCAAATAATAGAAAAGAATCATATAAAAATACATTTAATCACTTATTTCTTACAAAAATAATGAAGTAAAAAAAGTGTAAAAATTATTAAAAAATACAAAAATTAGAAAAAATGGATAAAATGTTGGAATCTTAAAAA